AATTTTTTTTAAAAAAAATTAATCAACCCCCCCCCCCCCCAATGGTGTCCCTCTTTACCAATGTTAAAATCTGGTCACCTTAATATTGGTGAATACCTTATGCCTTGAAGCACCTAAATCAAGGTTTTCCAGCTCTGGCACTACAACTCCCAGAATTCCCCAGCCAACATACTAAAGTTGGGAAGTCTTAACCTAGATACAATAGTGTTTCAATTTGGATATTCTGATGTCCAACATATCCTTATTAATATCTCTGTTCCTCAAGTTCTGGACTAAATCTCCAGCATTATAATTTTCCTATGAGCCCCTGAATTGGTATCCTGAGTTTGGTTTATTTGATAGTTGTTTGACTAGCTTATGAAGTAAGCAATTACGTTACCTACGGTTCCTTAAAGTCCTTTAGAATGAAACTTTATCAATTAGAAGCAGCTGTTGCACTAATTAAAAAAGAATAAGACCAATTTAGATTTGCCCATAACTATATGTCCCAAAGAGGTACATGCTCCAATGGCATTAATATTATCTCCACCAGAGACTAATATATTAATAGCCTTTTATTTTTACTGTATTCCCTCACAAGTTCCTGACACATATAAACTGAATCCTCCCTTGTCTGCATTAGTTTAAATAATTCCTGACAGGTCTGACTTTAAAAATAAGATAAAGCACAGAATCCGTGTTACTGCACAACTGACATCTTCCACTATTTTAATTTTCTAATCTGAAAGCATAGGATGTGTAGAGAATATTTCTGCACTGTCCTTCACACTTAAATTCAAATTTTCTATGCTTTAATGAACTGCTTTCAAACAGGAGCATTAATTTTCAGAAAGGGAGGGAGATGATCCTCATAGACTAATGGTCTCACATCTTCCTGGACGAATCAGCCATCAGAATAAGATTCCGAAGCTGCTTTACATACGCTGCCAAATTGATTAGGTATTAGTCATTCATGAAGTTTCATTTTGACAAATACCTAGAATTTAGGCCTTTTCCTATTAATTGTTTCAAAAGCTGCTCATCCTCTGAGAATACTGTATTATTATTATTAGCCTGCCTACTGCTCAAAGTCTTTGGGAATTGGGTGGGCTAGAAACATTGGAAATAAACAAATTAGTATTGCAGATTACCCTTTCATAAACTTTGTGTGATTTCTAGCCATGAAATAAATTATAATAAAAACCATAAAAACCTATACAAACAGTACAGTGATCAATGATCCACACACTACACAATAATATTGTGGGGATTTATTATGTTTTGTGTTGGGGTTTTATTTCTGTAAGCTGCCTGGAATCAGTGTGAGTTTGACGGTTCCACCACAAAACCGTGTTCGACTAAAGGGCGCTCGACGAAACNTACCTTAGCACTTG